AATGTAAAATTCAACACATTTTCACCTAATATTTATATTTTATTTCAGCTTTATTTCACTTCCCAAAAATGAGTTATAGTGAAAAACCGCAACATTGAATTTAAGTTACTTTAATTTTACATTTATTCTAATAGAATTTAAATTTAAATTACTTTAAGTAACAGCACAGATCCTTTCCCACATCCCACAACTTCTGGACTAAGATGTTTTGAGTCCCCAAATTACCGTGTTTTCTTGTAGTACAGCCTACATCTCAAAAGATAAAGAATTATTTGATTTCATGTGATATGCCCTGTCCTCTCAGTTTCTAATACATATGCAAGATGTCTCTTTACTCATGTCCATTGGGAAATATGTTTCTAAAGTGACATTATGAAGGAGAATGTGTGTTCAGTCAATCATTTATTTGCTGTTGTAGTATTAAGCCTCACAGTGGCCAGTGGTTGAGAGTATGAGGAATGTGGGCTGTGGTGTGACGCATACAACCGTAACACTTACGTGAACTTTTGACCCGGACTGCAGATGGAGAGAGATAGAGGGTCTAAGGGAAGGGAATGAAGGACGTGCCACTCTATCACAACATGTTCGTTAGGAATAGATCCACGGTGTGTGGTCTGCTGTCTGCGTGCGTGCGTGTGTGTGTGTGTGTCCAGGCTGTCAGATCTTCCTGGCCCTTTGGGTGTGGAGTGTTTATTGAATAGTAAAGAGCAGCGGTTATGAAACCTGATTAGAAGTTTATCTGCAGTTGCTGTGACTGTTTGATCTCAGTTGAGATCATAAAAAGCTTGTGACTTTTTGGTATTTGAAAGACATTTCCACAAAAACAAAAAGGCTTTTTTGGTGTCTATCTGACAGCAGAATCAGCCGCTTGACTGATTTACCACGGTTGAGGGACCCCTTAACTGCAGTGACCAATCGGGTTAAGATCTGCTGTGGGCTAGAACAAACATGTGACACAAGAAACTGAGGGAAATTCCTCCGGCCTCAGAAAAGTTTTTTTTTTTTTTTTTACTTCCCCCTGACCAGTGAAAAGATAAATGAAGTCTTTCAGAATGCATCTGATGTGTCTCTCGCTATATAATAATGATTAATAGTGATTTGGATATGCTAGATTAATTTTAATGTACTTTTCTTTTTACACAGGCCACATGATTTCTCTGTTTCCTATTAAGATCGCTAAAGGCATTTACACGCTTGTGTAACTATATAGTGAATTTATTATTTTTATGATTATTTATAGAAACACCTGCCCAGAGCATTCTTATTATTTAATGTACCCATCAGAAACCCAGCGCTAGGTCTTTTGTTCTCCCTTTGTGTTGTTGTCAGTGTGCGCATGGAGTTGTAGCAGGGCGGCTGCTGTGAAACTACATGTAGCAATATCTGGTCAGCAGCACATGCGCTGCGGATGGCCCTCTTCTCAGGTATTTGTTCACAAGCTCCCAGGAGAGATTCTGCTTAAGTCAACAACCCCTTTAAAGGCATTTGCTCACAATGGGAGAATTCTGGCTGTTTCTGCATGCGCTTTCAACTTTGTTGAATGATACTTACTGCGGCAAGTAATTTTTTTTTCTTCTCAGAGGCTAATTCTGGGATCGGGGAGATGATTTAAACCCTTTTTCCACTAATTACTTGCTGAACATAATTAAAAAGGCGTACTTCATGTTACTATCTAATAAGCTTGAAACGATTCCCTTGTGGAACCAGAGGCTCTGAAGACGTGTGTAAAACTATTAAATCTTTACCAACCTGATGATGATTGTCATTTTTTCCCCTTCTCTTCCTGTTATTTTTTTTTCTCCAATTTTTCCCCTTTCTAATGATGTTGAGCTCATTTTCGGTCCTCTAATAGTCTTCAAAAAAGTTTGTGATGATTGCTTTATGCCGTTTTGGAGATCCTGGCACCATTTGGGTTTCTGAAAGTGTCGATAATAAAAAGAAATGTAGCCTAAGCAGCAAATCAGCGTATTAGAATGATTTCTAAAGGATCATGTGACACTAAATAATGAATTATGTGATGGCTGTTGGAAATTAAGCTTTGCCATTATAAATTGCATATTAAAATAGAAAACACCTACCTTTTAATAATGTCTCACAGTATTACTGTTCTTACTGTGTTTTTTTTTATCAAATAAATGCAGACTTGGTTAGCATAAGAGACTTCTTTACAATGTTTTTTTTTAACGATCAAGTACTTTATATTTTTGCAAAACTTTCTCTTCTCTGGAGCATCTAATGTTATATTTTTCCTCGTTTTTTGAGCACACTTGATGTGTGATGATTCAACTGTCCCTTATGTCTCCACTAGGCGTTCAACTTTCATAAACTTTTTAATGGATGGTATAAGAGTATAAAGAGTATTGTGGGATCAATTAGATCTTTCCCCTTGACATTATTGAGAAGGCCAGGATGGAGATGGCAGATTAAAACTTATATCTAACTCTTCATTTTTCAACAAGTTTGCAGAGATCGATTACTCTCATATAGTAGTTCTCTTAAAGGCACAATATGTAAGATTTTTTTATTAAAATTTACAAAAAGCATTTATTGGCCGATACCGATATGGTGGCCGATATATCGTGCATCCCTAATTATAACAGAACTTTCAAATGTATCTAGTATGATAAAACTTTTTTTTTCCCCACATGCGCACGACCGGAAGGAGGGGAAGCGGTCGACTGTGGCATAATAAAAGCTCCGCTGCTTTCGAGCCGTGTGTCACGCTCGTTCAGCGGCCTCGTTTCGCTTCGACGGCTTTCAGCCTCACCCTGCTTTATTCTACTACGTTAATAAATAATTAGCTCATCCATGAACATGACTTCTGTCCGAGTCCCATCGGATTGCTTCGGCTGTGGGGATGAAGACGATAACTCCCATGATTCCACACTCAGTCACGGCGTCATCAAACTACGCCTTTGTCTCTGTTTATTTTGAATACGCGCCCTCTAGCGGCGAAAATTACATATTGTGCCTTTAAGCTAATTGCCTGAAAAACATGACTACTCCAGGCAGTCTCATTGTGTTTTACTAACTATAGCAGAGCAATCTATCTATCTTTCATTTAAAAAAATAAAACCTTCATCAGAAGAATGTTAATTTGAAAGGTGCACATTTGGCAAACCACTATCAACCACTTGTGAACAGTATCTTATTTTGGAGGCAAACTATTCCCTTGCTATTAGAGTTGCTATTGATGGCCATTACCTGTTCTTATTTCTTTTTGGACAATTTATAAGCAGAGTCTTCTCCATATGGGTCCCAAGGACATAAGCCATGAATGCCACCCGATCGTTGACCTCTGTGGGTCTTCTCGGTATCACCCGAGCGTGGTTGGTCCTCTTGGAGCCGGTGCTGGCAAGGTGTCGTTATTAAGAATAGCCACACTCTTCCTGACAGGTCTGGGACTACTCTTCTGTCTCTTTGGTTGGCTGATAACTCTCTGATAGAGGACAGTTCAAGTGCTGTGCTCACAGCTGACAGGGCTCTGCTCTCACAAGACACACAGGGAAGTGATGTCATAGAATCCGATGTCATACAAACCTTAGGGTGCTTTCACACCTGGCCTGTTGTTTCGGAACCTGGCGCGTTTCCCCCCTTAGCTTGGTTCGTTTGGGCATATGTGAACACGGCAATCGCGCCCGGATCCGCGCCAAAACAATCGGTCCGAGATCGCCTAAACGAGGTGGTCTCGGCTCGATTGAAAACGAACTCTGGAGTGGTTCGGTTGTAGTGAGAAAGCAATCCGATCCAACGGACCAACGAACCAGGCTAAATCACAATGTATAAAGGGTAATTACGTAACTTCCGTGAAAAGCATTAGCTTTGTTGTTTTGCTAATACTTCAAAATGAACCAGTGAATGTCTGTGGGTGAGCACGTCTTCGCCATTCAAAATAAAAAAGTGCACTTTTTAATTTTATAATGCCGTCTTATTGCTCTTCTTCCTAGTAGGTGCATTTTAAAAATGTTTTCCCAATGAATCCTGGACTCCTGCTCAAAATGATAAATTAATATAAGGACAGCTACAAAAAAAAAAAAAAAAAGCTGTTGTCGTTCCATCCTGAGTCCTGTCGGATGACAGCCGTGACAGCTCAGTGCAATCCCGGAAAATAAACTGTGGAACTTTGACCAATGAGAGAACAGTTTATTCGCACGTGACTTGTATTAACAAATTTGGTCCATTTAGAAACTTTGCCATGTGAAAGCAAACCTCACCAAGAATAAAGAGCAACATTGTAATAATTTTAATCCCGTTTCGGAACAAAGCAATCGATCTACAGGTGTGAAAGCACCCTTAATGTTTACTTCCAGGTCAGCTGATGGAGTGGCCTCAGAATGTGAATGTTATTTGCACAAAACTCTTTAAAAACGTATATAGGTGGGCGAATCTCAAGAAACTTCTCAAGAATATGGCCAGGTCGTATTTCATCCTAAACTCAAAAAAAAGTTATTTTGATAACATTCAGTAGTTTTTGTTTTTAAGACCAAAAAAATTTATTTTGCATTGTGAGAGCCTCCATTCTCATTGTTTTTATACTGTAAATCAAGAATAAGAAAAATACAAAATCAACAAATTGTCAAGAAATATTAACATTCCAAAAAGGCTTCCATTGCTCTTCACTATTTATTTATTTATTCCTTTTGTATTATTATTAATTATATTTTCTATATACATGCATACCTTGGAGATGCTTTTTGAACCTGATTTTTCTGTTTAATTGTTATCCGTTTATAAAATTGACTAAGTTTTGGAGCTCTTAAATTAGTGTAAAATGACTTCTGTTAAATTACCAAGAAGCATAGTTGCTCAAAATGGCCTGATATTTATTTTTTTATTAACATGCATGGCCACTGTATCATCCTTTAAAAAAATAAAATTAATAAAATTACACTAAATTAATCAATATTAATAGCGTTTTGATGTGTGATACTAGGCTATATTGCATTGGCTGTGTTGAGCCTTGTTTGAGATCTTAACTGGATGGTTCTGCTCTTCCACAGATTGAGAGAAGTGAATAATGCCCAAAGATTTCCACTGGTCCCACTGCTGCAGAAATGCCCTGAGGCTGAGTCTGGACTGAAGCCAAGGTAAGCTTAGCAACCTGTGATGAACACAGTCACTTTCTTTCACACTTTCCCCTATCAAACTGTTGGTTAATTTATGACATTGAAGGTCTAATGTGTGTTTATGAAACTGCATGGTGAGAAGATGAAGAAAACTCTTGTATGATATACTGCAAAACAAATGAAAGTGTGAGTTGGTGTGGTTTGTGTGGGAGGCGTGACATCATTTCCTCTCTGTATTTGGTATTTGAGCAGCGAACCTTGTTTTCTGTTGTTTGCATCCTTGATTTTTCCTTCTGTCTTTTATTCCTCTAAAACAGAGGTTTTTAACTTTTAGAGACCCAGACTCTCAGCCAAATTAGAGCTAAGAAAGATTTTTGTGTCGTAACACTTTATAATCACTTTTATTAAAAACTTTAACAAGTGAAATAAACCCCAAGAAATTACATGCACAAATAAAAATTGTAGTGTCTTTTGAAAGAAGACACCTCGCGGTTTATTAATTGTTTTACTCTCCACAATGCTTAATTTTAAGTAAATATTATATTAGTGGCGTCAAACGATTAATAGTGATTAATCACATCCAAAATAAAAGTTTTAGTTTACATAATATATGTGTGTATGCTGTGTATATTTATTATGTATATATAAAAACTAGGGGTGCTCCGATTGATCGGCTACCGATCACTATCGGCCGATAATCACATTGGGATGATTGATCGGCGGTCTCTAAAAAGGCCGATCTCAAAAAAACGATCTCAAGCTGATGACGCTGCCGTGAGAGGTTTGGCACGACATGCAGCGGCACCATCTCAGTCTCTGTCTGGCGCAGGTGAAATAATTATAATGCTGCTTATTTCTTCATTAAATAACTTATTAAAGTAATTTAAAAACCTTGTGTGAGACGTAATTTCACAAACAGCGTGAGTGAATCACTGTGCGTGTGCGCTCTCTCTTTCTCTCTCAAAATACGCAAATGGCTTCAAATCACCAGACATCGCGTCTGTCTATAAGCGAGCTGCACAGTTGACACAGGAATTGTCACTTGCACAATCGAGGCAGTGTCACATCGTCACTAAAGTTTATAAATTGCATTATTTTTACATTTTTACCAGTGTTTAATCATTCAGATCTCCTGGAGACCGTGCACTCATGCACACTAGCAGCACACACACATAATGCCAGGTTCACATTACTCTGTTTGCAGTGCATACGGGGTACGTATTTTTTCCGCGCTCATGTTAACGTATTAAAGCATTCACTGCACACAGCTGCGGGCCCGGCAGTGCGTTCAGGAGTGGTGCGTCTGCAGCAGTGCAGAGATCGTTTCCTCACCGAGTCTATTGTTTGCAGTAAATATGAACATGGATTGACACGAAAATTTAGTAATTACACCATAAATGCATATAATTAAAGTCTACTGTGTTTCGCAGTCAACACATGGCTTTTTGGATAGTTTTAAAGGAAAAGAGCACTTTTAGTGGCAACAAGGCAATAATAGATGACACTCGTGGAGGTAGGAAAACAAAGTTCTTTATGAACGGCAGGATTGCTTGTAATAAAGATTTCAATGCAAAAGGAAAGGCAGTAGAGCTAACTATTTCTGTCAATGGGAAGTTTGTGATAACGTAAGAAAAATAGTTTAAATGTTTTGTCACTTGCTTGAGCAACTTAATTTATAAATCTAGAAGTAAATGCAAAATTAAAATGCATTGAATAATGTGTTGCTTATATTTATTGTGTTTAAACAGCATCTGTGAAAGATTGTATTACTGTACTGTGTAAAAAAAATAATTGCAATGCTGAAAAAGCATTTTCAGTGACAATGTTTCGATTTTAAATCAAAATAATGGATAAATGTTGTGTTTGTGGTAAACGGCCACGGATCAGTAGCAGACTCCTGTTTGAAAGCACAGTCCGTGCTGCTTCCTCTCTCATAAGAGTCACCTAAGAGGGGAATTACCCCCATTTTCAAAAATGAAACTCAGGCCCTGAATAAATGTCTAAAAATACTGATTGAAATATCACTATAAATAGTTATAAATTATAAAAAGAAGGCTTTAAAAAGATTGGTATCGGCAGATACTGCTGTCTGTTATCGGCGATTGGTGATCGGCCTCAAAAATCCTGATCGGAGCACCCTTAATAAATACAAACACATGCATGTATATATATATATTTAAGAAAAATATATTATGTTTATTTATTAAGTATATTTATATATAATATAAAATATAAGAATATAAATATAGAAATGTATATACATTTAAATATTTTAAATATATATACTGTATGTGTGTGTATTTATATATTCATAATAAATATAAACAGTACACATACATATCGAGGCAGTGTCACATCGTCACTAAAGTTTATAAATTGCATTTCTTTTTAATTCTTGCCAGGGTTTAACCATTCAGGGCTTGCGCGCTCTCCTGGAGACAGTATGCTCATGCACACTCGCAGCACACACACATAAGGGCAGATTCATATTACTCCATTTGCAGTGCATACGTGGTGTGTATTTTTTCCGCACTCATGTTAACGGATTAAAGCGTTCACTGCACACGGTTGCGTTCCGGCAGTGCGTTTCAGGATCTGTGCTTCTGCTGCAGTGCAGAGATAGTTTCCACACCGAGTCTATTGCTGCAGTGCAAGCACTGAATTAAAGTAACAGCGCATTGTTTGCAGTAAATATGAACATGGATTGACACGAAAATTTAGTAATTACACCATAAATGCATATAATTAAAGTCTACTGTGTTTCGCAGTCAACACATGGCTTTTTGGATAGTTTTAAAGGAAAAGAGCACTTTTAGTGGCAACAAGGCAATAATAGATGACACTCGTGGAGGTAGGAAAACAAAGTTCTTTATGAACGGCAGGATTGCTTGTAATAAAGATTTCAATGCAAAAGGAAAGGCAGTAGAGCTAACTATTTCTGTCAATGGGAAGTTTGTGATAACGTAAGAAAAATAGTTTAAATGTTTTGTCACTTGCTTGAGCAACTTAATTTATAAATCTAGAAGTAAATGCAAAATTAAAATGCATTGAATAATGTGTTGCTTATATTTATTGTGTTTAAACAGCATCTGTGAAAGATTGTATTACTGTACTGTGTAAAAAAAATAATTGCAATGCTGAAAAAGCATTTTCAGTGACAATGTTTCGATTTTAAATCAAAATAATGGATAAATGTTGTGTTTGTGGTAAACGGCCACGGATCAGTAGCAGACTCCTGTTTGAAAGCACAGTCCGTGCTGCTTCCTCTCTCATAAGAGTCACCTAAGAGGGGAATTACCCCCATTTTCAAAAATGAAACTCAGGCCCTGAATAAATGTCTAAAAATACTGATTGAAATATCACTATAAATAGTTATAAATTATAAAAAGAAGGCTTTAAAAAGATTGGTATCGGCAGATACTGCTGTCTGTTATCGGCGATTGGTGATCGGCCTCAAAAATCCTGATCGGAGCACCCTTAATAAATACAAACACATGCATGTATATATATATATTTAAGAAAAATATATTATGTTTATTTATTAAGTATATTTATATATAATATAAAATATAAGAATATAAATATAGAAATGTATATACATTTAAATATTTTAAATATATATACTGTATGTGTGTGTATTTATATATTCATAATAAATATAAACAGTACACATACATATATTGTGTAAACAACTTTTATTTTGGATGCGATTAGTCGCGGTTAATCATTTGACAGCACTTATATATATATATATATATATATATATATATATATATATATAATTATATAGCGGGTGGGGTTAGGGGTGTGCCTGAAGCGTGAAACCAATAACGTGTTATGGGCCTTTCACACAGGACGCGGAAAGCGCTGCGCATGCCGCTGGGTTCAGTGCAGCACTTCAGATACAAAGCAATTTGCGCTTAAATGGGCAGGAGCAAAGTAGGCAGAGTTTTCAAAACTTTTTCCGGGAGTTCTATAAGTCTAGTCATTTGTTGTTCCAACTTTTCAGTCAGCAGCAAAATATATATCTGTCCCGTGCCAAGAAGCGAGCGATAGCACTAGCCCTGCTAGTAAGAAGAAGAAGAAAGAGAGCAGCAAGGAAGAAGAGGCTGTGGGTGCATGAAACTCTCAGGTCGAAGGCTTGCGAAGGAGCTTCGTTTGGATGCCCCGTTTCTATTGGCCGCGTGGGTAAACGTCACAGAGCGCAGCGGCAAAAATTGAACTATTTTGAACCAAATATTATAGTTTTGAATTTTTTTGTTAGTTTTTATTTTAATATCGTTTTCAAATTTCCTATAATTTCAGTTTACTTTTAGTTAGTTTCATTAATGGTTTTGTTAGTTTTTAGTTTAGTTTTTGTTTTGTGAACACATTTCCATTTAGTTTTTATATATTTTAGTTTCAGTTTTAGTTTTAGTAATTATAGTTTAGCAGATTTAATGGAACACTTCCAGTGTAGACCAAAGCAAGACATTTAATTTTAGCAAAGTTGAATGTTTGCACAGTTTACAGTTAACTCTTGTGCAAACCTCTTAATAATGAAAATAATTATTTACAATTGAACAAAAAACTAAAATATACAACTTGTACTGTATGTATAAAATTTGTTCATTCATATTCATGTTCATATTCATTCATATTAAAGCTGTAATCTTGTTAAACATGCCAATAGTTTACAAACAACAAGGTTTTCAGAGTTACAGATAAGCAAATAAGTTTATCTTGGTCTCATCAGACCACAGGACATGGTTCCAGTTATCCATGTCCTTAGTCTGATTGTCTTCAGCAAACTGTTTGCGGGCTTTCTTGTGCATCATCTTTAGAAGAGGCTTCATTCTGGGACGACAGCCATGCAGACCAATTTGATGCAGCGTGCGGGCGTATGGTCTGAGCACTGACAGGCTGACCCCCCACCCCTTCAACCTCTGCAGCAATGCTGGCAGCACTCATGCGTCTATTTCCCAAACACGACCTCTGGATATGACGCTGAGCACGTGCACTCAACTTCTTTGGTCGACCAT